ATCATGAAGATGTGACCTGGTCGTCCGTTGCCGCCGGTTTTAAGGGATTAATTCCTTCAAAAGTAAGATCTCGTCCGCAATGCTGTGACGATGACGCGATGATCATTTGTGGATGTATGGCCTGTCTGAAAAAGAGCAACAATGGCTTACATGATTTGCTGGTGGATTATTATGTTGGTGGGATGACGTTTATGATGCTGGCGCGGAAGCATAATTGCTCTGATGGGTATATCGGGAAAAGGTTACAGAAAGCAGAGGGAATAATCGAAGGTATGTTAATGGCATTAGACATTTGCTTAGAGATGGATATTGATGTTACTAAGCTTAATTAATACGATTATTTTTTAATAAAAAATGGGGCGTAAAAACACCCCCAAGATAAAGGGTAATATATAACAGAAAGTTTAGATAGTAAGAAGCAGGGCTCTAATGCTTCTTAAAGAAGTGGCTTGAGGGAGCCACTTATATGCTGAGAAGATAAAACCTTCTCAGCATATCCTTTATTAACCAGATTAGAACTGGTATACCATACCTACAGCAACGATATCGTCAGTGTTTACACCAAGAGCTTTAGTAAAGTCATTTTTGTCAAGCAGGTTGATTTTGTAATCAACGAAGGTAGACATATTTTTGTTGAAATAATAAGTTGCACCAACATCAACATATTTCACCAAATCCTGGTTACCCCACATACCAGGATCCTTACCTTTAGACTGCAGATAAGCGATGGACGGACGCAGACCGAAATCAAACTGATACTGTGTAACTGCTTCAAAGTTTTGTGCTTTATTAGCCACAAAGTAATCTGCGAATTTAGTCATATTCTGGGTTTCTGAATAGGTTGTTGCCAGATAAACGTTGTTTGCGTCGTATTTCAGACCTGCAGCCCAGACTTCTGCATTTTCGCCGGAAGCAAATACTCCTGGGAGAAGTTTACCCAATTTGACTTGAGTGTCGGTACGATCAGATTTCGCATACGTTGCACCAATGCCGAAACCTTCGTATTCATAGGTCGCA